TGAATGCTCTTGGTCTTTGTATAGGTTCCTCATGAACACTATCAAGTGTTCTGGATTAGCCATTCTTCATAATGCTACCCATAGTTTGTTATTAACCACAAAATCAAAAAATTTGCATAATCAATAAAGCACAATATAGTTCTGGTATTCTCTGCTTTCAGCCAAGATTCATCCAATATGCCTAGTTCAATATACTTTTCTGAATCTGGCTTGATTTTTCTGGAAGTTCTCTGTTGATGTACTGTTATATACATTTTTGACTTGTCTTTATTGAAAAGAGTATAACCTTGGAAATCTATGGGACAGTTCTACTCAGTTTCATAAGGTTGCTGTGAGTCACCATGCACTTATTACAGTTAGTCACCGTCCCTTTTTGTTAGTGTTACTTCCATCATCCTTGCTGTTTTTAAGTGTCAATTAGTAGGCTCTGATTCATAGCAACCCTGGATAGTGTTTCCAAGAAGTTTCTGGTGAGTTCAAACCACCAACCTTGCAGTCTGGTGCTTTTCCTACAGTGCCACATCAGGGGCCCACTTCTATCTTAACTACTCTGAATTAACCAATGTTAACAACTTGTCCATCACACCTTTCTCTGCATGTATATAAGCACAATTAAACATAAAATATTGATCAGTGTACAGCTTTCAATATATCAATATCAGCTTTCAGTAATAATTTCATAATTTGCCCACAGTGTGAACCCCATGTAATCTTCACCATAGATCTAGTTCACATAGTTTCTTAATATATAACTGTTGTTAAAGTGCCATCAAGTCAGTTCTGACTCATAGGGACCCAGTACAGTGTTTCCTAGACTTTAAATCTTTGAGGAAGCAAAAAGCCGTCTTTCTCCCCTTAATGTATCATAGTTGACCATGTAATGACATGATATCTCTGCACCAAAATAAGAGTTCCTGGAATGACCTCATAACAGATGCTCTCAATCTGTTCTGGGCACTGACCTGACTTGACTTGCATAAAACAAATAAATTTTGTCAACATTGTAGAAAGAGCCATCTCATGAGGGTGAGGATGGTTCCAGCACATTTATTTCTGTGGCTATTTGCTTTGTTGTAGTTATTGTTACGTGCCATCCAGTTGGGTCTCAACTCATAGTGGCCCTGTAAAGTGTTTCCGAGAAGTGGCTGAGGCAGTTGGAATTGATATCATTTATCCAAACACTGACAACATTCAGGCTGAGAAGATAAGACTTGCCTGGGGAGATTGTGAAATTTACAGATTATCTAGCTCTATGCTCCACCTGTCACTTTGATTCTTTAGATCTGAAATGTGACTCAGAATCTGTATGTTTAAATCAACTATCTGTGTATATTTCATATGAAGACAGACTGAGAAACTGCTCAATGAAGAGTTTTCTAAAATCGTTACAAAATATGGCCATTCCTCTATGTTGTTGTGTTAAGTGCTGTTGAGTTGATGAGGATTCAGAGGGATGCTATATAGAGTTAATGAGTTGCAGCTGGTGGGTTTGAACTGCCAACCTTATAGTTAACATTCAAGTGCTTATCCTACAGCACCACACCAGGACCTCTGTAGACAAAGTAAAAGTGCCCCCATAGGGTTTCCAAAGCTGGAGTCCTGGTGTGATGCTATAAGCACTGGACTATTAACAACAAGATCAGTTGCTCAAATCCACCAACCACTCCTTGGAAACCCTTTACAGAGTCTCTAGGGGTCAGAACTAACTCAACAGTACTTAACAACAACCATCTTTATAGAGGGGTCCTGGTGTAGTGCTGTAGGAAGAGCACTGGACTGTTAACTACAAGGTTAACTCTTCAAACCCGCAAGTTGCTCCTTGGAAACCCTATACAGGGTTGCTATGAGTTGGAACCAACTCAATGACACTTAACAAGAACAATCTTTATAGAAGTAGGTATTTTCTCCCTGGGGGCTGCTAGTGGGTTCAAACCTTTGGTTATCAGACAAGGGCTTAACCACTGCACCATTTAGTTTAGTGGATTACACTTTAGTCAGCAGTTGAGTCCACCAACTGCTCTGCTTGAGAAAGATGAAGCTTTTTGCTTCATAAAGATTTATAGCCTTGGAAACCCTATCAAGAGTTCTATGATTCAGAACTGACTCATAGCACACAACCACCACCAATGTATGTGTGTTTGTGGTTTGTGTGGCATGCATGTGTTTGTGTGTGTGTGAGAGAGAGAGAGAGACAGAGACAGAGAGAGATAAAAATTCTTGAGGAACTGCCTTGTTTCGTAAGCCAACCAGATCAGAAAACAACAAGGGACACTTTGATCTGGAAGACCTTTGGATATACTTGTCCACTACAGATGGAGGTAACTTATGAGGGAACAGGGAGAGACCAATGAGCAGGAAGACCTGATCAAAATTCAGAGCTACTCTGAATTTGGAAATACAAATGTTTGTCTTTTAATGAATATGAAGGTCAGTGTGTATATGTGATGAAAATTAAAAGATAAAATGCACCAGTGATGGGGAAAAGATAACCTTCTCTTAACAGGAAAAAAATAACAAAGATTTGAATTGCCACATATCTTGGTTAGAAGTTATTTGTTGTTGTTAGTGCTGTCAAGTTGGTTCCGGCTCATAACAATCCTGTATTGAGTTTCTGAGAAGCACCTGGTGAGTTTGAGCCCAACTTGAGGACCAGTGCTTATCCTAATGTGCCACACCAGGACTCCTGGTTAGAAACAGAATTTAAAAAGAAACTACTTTTTCCATGAGAATAAAAAGAAGCTCAACTGTGTTGGAGTCCTATTCAGAGGTTTTGACCTTTAATGATTAAGTGTGTCTTCATGAAAATGACCATGGCAGTAAACTACTGAAGAGAAATGAAAGAAAAAAAGTGTATGCAACTTAAATTTTAAATTGCATGTAAGAATTGCTAACCCCCTTTCAATTAGCCTATAGTAAAAATAATTATCCCTCAAATTTGTGCTTGAAAACATTTTGCTTAGTAAATTTTCACTCTAAACTTCATTCCTTTGTTCTAAAGTTTCTCTTGCTGAGTTGGATCCAACATAAACAAAATATTGACTAAGGGATGAGTTGATAATTAGAGGCTATGGCACTGTGGAATAAAGCACTGGACCACAAGGTCAGTTTGAACCGCAAGGTTGGTGGTTCAAACTCACAAGTTGCTCCTCGGAAATCCTATATCACATCACTGAATCAGAACTGATTCAAGGACACTTAACATCAATAAACAAGTGGTATGTATAGAGATGATGTTTCAAAGTACCATCAAAGTATTCTAAAATATACCTAGTCTTGAATTCAGATCATATCAACATCACTATTTTCATATCAATGTTTTAGGTTAACTTTCAGTCTATATGTAGCTATGCCATTAGATAATATTAGCTAGGAGAAAATACCAGCTATGATTTTTACCCCATGTTCTGAAAACTGCAATTTTGAACAACAAAGTCACAGGGATTTGTACCTTGTGTGCAGAGACACTGATGAATTGTTTAAAGACATTTTTTAATGAAAGAAAGAAAAAACAGCAATTCTAGAAATTCTCATCAAATAAAACAAAAAAGATCTCTTAATGACGTCAAACAATTTATTAGGATATGTTTTAAAAAAATTTTTTTAAATCAATTGTGAGATAATACACTTCACCAAAAATAAAAAACTCAAATACCAAATCAATACCTTGAAGATTAATTTAAATTATTAATGAATTTTTAAATGCTAAATGTTGTTCTAGGTTACAAACTACCTAAATTTTAAAAGAGTAGTAAGGAATGTGTCTTTATAAGGAACTGGAGAGAAGAAATTATTTGACAGACTTAGCTACTTGGCTGGTATGAAGTGACATCACCAAGCCACGTGCTGCTGTGTGCCTTTGAGTCGATGCTTACTCAGAGCGACCATGTACAGTTTTTCCAAGGCTGCAAATCTTTATCAGAGCAGAAAGCCTCATCTTTCTCGCACAAAATGACTGGTGGATTTGAACTGCTAATTTGTGGTTAGCAGCCCACTACCCTACCAGGGCTCCTTAAACTATGTGTTGGTGTGGAGCTATGAGTTAATGTGCTGGATTATGAAGTTGGTTTGAACTGCAAGGTCAGTGTTTCAAGTCCATCATCTGCTCCTCAGCAACCCTGTACAGAATCTCTATGGGTCGGAACTGACTCTATGGCACTTAACAACAAGATACTAATATATTTCCAAATCTGTTGGTATCTATAGGCCTGCAGCTCAGCCCAAGCACAGTGTCCTTACCCCGGGATCTGAGAAACTCCACATGACCCAGTCACTAACTCTTCTGGACCTCATTAGTGCTGTAGCCAATGCCAGTCTGGTTTTAAAACATTTTAATAGCGTGTTGTCAAGTGTATATATGTAATAACTTAGAGAGAAATAGTATTTTGTATGAGAAAAAAGTAATTCAGTCAAATGACTCTAACACAGAATAGTAAGACCATAGAATACGTTATTGCATAGGCCCCCCAGGATAATTTTAAGAATGGATAATGTTGTTGTTAACTGCCATAGAGTTGGTTATGGCTCATTGCAACCCTGTGTAAGGTTTCCAAGGAGTGGCTGGTGCACTAGAACCTTGCAGTCCAGTGCATTAATCCACAGCGCCACACTAGGACCCAATGGTGAATAATAAGAGCACCAAATTCAGAGGGTCCAATCAAAGAAGGAGAGAATGTTGATTCTCAGAAGCAAATTTACTTGAGCTCTGGTAGCGTAGTGGTTACGAATCGGGCTGTGAACCTTAAGGTCAGCGGTTCGAAACTACCAGCCGCTCCGCGGGAGAAAGATGAGGCTTTCTACTCCCGTAAGGATTTACACCCTCGGAAACCCTGTACAGGGTCGCTATGGGTCGGAACCGACTCAAAGGCACTTAACAACAACAACAACAATATTTGCAGTACAAAGTCACTTTTTGTGTTTGGCTCTAGTATTGTAACGTCCTTCTTCCTCACAGGGTCTTAATCACAAAACCCTTATTTCTTGGTGAATGTGGAAAGAACTAGTTAACTCAAATCTTCAATCTTTACCAATGCAGCTGTCTTCTCACAAATCCATGAAATTTCAGCACTACATCGGGAAACATAAATATGTCCTTTTTGAAAGTAAGCGCATCCTTTGGACCCGTTGATCCGAGTAAGTTCTTTAGTACTAAATCTGAAAATAAACAATTTAAAATTAATTACACATTTAATATTTGAAAGGTGATTACAATCCAGTGTTTCCGATTGCCCTACCAGCCAAAAAATCATATAACTGAATGTTGAGAGACTTCTATGCTCACAATACATCTAGGTCCCTAAAACTGTCATGTCTGAGTTCTTTGTTTCAAGTTCATTATAATCCCAGCTGGACTTTCTAAGTATGTTTAAATTCTGGTCTAAAACTTTGGATTCCCTCCTCTAACATGTTAGGATCTATCCAATTCAGATGCTACTAATTAGCATTGTTAAGTGCCATTGAGTTGGATCCGACTCATATAGACTCAGTACAGGGTCTCTGAGGCTGTAAGTCTTTACAGGAGCAGAAAGCATCACCTTTCTTTTGAGGCGTTGCTGGTGGACTCAAACAATTGACCTTGTGATTCACAGTCCAGTGCTTATCCTATAGAGTGACTATAGTCTCAGATATATTAGAACACTAAGAATTATTTTTAACTTGGAACTTTATGAAAAAAACAGAAACATTAAATCACATGCTTGTAAAAAATGCATTTTACAATGCACAAATATAATTTTGCATACATTTATACATATGTGTGAGTTAAAAGAACAAGACTAAAGTTGAGAGGAAAATGTGAACTACTATTTAGAGTTGATTCTGAAATCACTCCATATATCTGCTAAAAATTGGCAATGATTTTAAACAATGCCATTAGAAAGTTATGCATTTAAAAACATGTTTCCCGTTGCCTTCAATTCACAGTATCTCCATATGTTTTTAAGGGTTGTGATCTTTCAGAGCTTCTAAGATGCTTCTGGATTGGGTTGAAACACCAACCTTTCAGTTAATAGGCCAGTTTTAATCTTTTCCAATATTCAAGACTTCATTTATAGTTGTTAAGTGCTGCCAAGTGAGTTCCTACTCATAGAAATCTTATATATGATTCTGAGGCTGTAAATCTTTGCAAGAGCAAAAAGCTGCATGGTTTTTCCATGGGGTGACTGGTGGGCTCCAACCACCGATTTTATCCTACAGAGCCACCGTGTTACCCACAGCACCTTCATTGAAGCATGGAATTCAGGTATAAAAGTTTCCTCTGTGAGTCCAACATTGCTCTTTTTCAAATGTTCAACATTTTAATACCATATTCTTTTCTTGATTTGGGATTAGATTTACTTACTCTTCATCTTAGTGTGGAGTCCTGGTGTGGTGCAGTAGGGTAAGCAATGGACTGCTATCCTCAAGGTTGGTAGTTCAAATCCTCCAGCCACATTTCAGGAACCCTATACAGGGTGGCTATGAATAATCCAACCAACTTGTTGTTGTTGTTAGGTGCTATCAAGTCGGTATCCACTCATAGCGACCTTATGCACAGCAGAACAAAACACTGCCCTATCCTGGGCCAACCTTACTATTGTTGCCACACTTGAGCTCACTGATGCTGCCACTTTGCCAATCCATCTCGCTGGGCGTTTCCTCCTTTTCTCTGACCCTCCACTCTATCAAATATGATATCCTTCTCCAGAGACTGGTCCGTCCTGATAATATGTCCAAAGTATGAGAGATGAAGTTTGGCCATCCTGGCCTCCAACCAACTAGATAGCACTTAATGTCAATACTCTTAGTGTATGTACTTGCTCAAAGTAAACTTTGGTTAATAGCCAAGGAACAGCTCTGTAACCCCAAAATTCTATCTCATCAGCCTGAAAATACTCCCTGATGCCTTTGTTAACTATGCAATCAGGGAGGTCCATATCTCCAGTCTCTAAACCCTACTCTGAAGACCACCTCATTTGTAATTTAGGAGTGGCAGAAATGATAGAATCCTTTTGGGAGCAGAGACATATGAAAAATTACAAAGTGAAAATGGAAAATACACGTAAGTAGTTTCCATGGTACTATTGCTATTAGAGCCACTATCAACACTCATGGAAGCAGCAGTCAAGAAATCAAAAATCATATTGTGTTAGGTAAATCTGCTACACAAGACCTCTTTAACATGTTCAAGAGCAAAGATGTCAGTTTGAGGACATTTGTGAGGATGGCACAAGATCAGACAGTGCTTCATTCTGTTGTGCATAGGGTCACTATGAGTCAGAACCTACTTGGCGGCACCTGACACCTAACAACAATAGCTCCTGCAATCCTCAACCTAGCAACAATATCTGAAATTTATTTTTAATCACCTCATTCCCAGTATTGTACCCATTGAAAACCAAAATGTGGGTTTTTCCCCATTTATTCTTCCATGTGTGTGTTCCTGTCATTTTTATATATGTGAAACCAGACAAGTATATTTAATAAGTCTAGTTGTAGTGATTAGACAAGGAGAAGATTGATGTTTGCCTGAATAGAAATAACCATAATAAAACTTTGGAAAATGGATGAAGATAAAGAGTAAGGAATGTTGGTGTGATGGTATAGGATAAGCACTAGACTGCTAACCACACGATCAGCAGTTCAAACCCACTAGCTGCTATGTGGGAGAAAGATAAGGTTTTCTGCTCCCATAAAGATTTAGTTTCATAAACCCTGTATGAGTCAGAATCTATTTGAAGGCAGTGAGTTTTTGGAGAGAAAAGAATACACATATCATTGTTTGTTACTCAAGAAATTTGGTGAGTCACAGCTGGAGTCCAATGTCTTTGACAGAAAATGAGTGATAACAATTCCATTTAATAATATTGTGGAAGCATGCAGTAAGGTGTGAAGCAGGAGTGGGTTCAATGAATGAAAACCTTGCCAGGTTTAGGTATAGAGAAAACCCAAGACACCAAGAAAAATTCCAGTGTTCTTAGATTTCACTTAATATGCTGATACTAGGAGTCCTGGTGTGGCGCTGTGGATTAATGCGCCAGACTGCAAAGTCGTTTGAAATGCAATGTTGGCGGTTCAAGCTAACCAGCTGGTCGTTGGAAATCCTATACAGGGTCGCTATGGGTCAGAATTGACTCGACGGCACTTAACAACAACAACATAGCACAGTGTGTGAATAAAATGCATGAATATGATTTATCATTTTAGTATGGTTATAATTACAAGTTGTTGTTGTTGTTAAGTGCCGTGGAGTCGGGTCCAACTCATAGTGGCCCTGCACAGGGTTTCTGAGGCTGCAAATCTTTACGGGAACAGAAAGCCTCATCTTTCTCCCGCGGAACAGCTGGTAGTTTTGATCTGCTGACCTTGAGGTTCGCAGCCCGATTTGTAACCACTACGCTACCAGAGCTCCTTGTAATTACAAGTAGAAGTATAGAAAACGTTTCTTAAAATTTTTGGTTCCATAGTGCCTAAAAGAAGTTTGCAAAATTGTGTTCCCTGACTCATTTTTAAGTTGACATTGACATTTTCTGATAACTCTTAATAGTTGCAAAACTATGATTTTCAGAATACTACTTATTCTATATGTGGCTTAAGTATTTTCATCAAAGCCTCAAAGTGACAAATTTAGCTCCTTTTGTTTCAGAAACAACATTTATCATTTTAATCTAATTATTAAGTCCCCATCATGAAACTACTTGTTAAACTGATGAGACACCTCAGTCTTACTTTCTGTTAGAAAATGACTGACAAGTTTTCTGTTTAAATAAATGTGCTAATGTTCATATGTGTTCGAATGACAGACACCTCACTTCTGGATTCCAAATACTGGAATGCCAGACTAGTCATGTGACAGAATGGATGGTCTCTAAACAGCAAAGGGAAGTATGAGCAGGGCTGCTAATCACAAGGTCAGTAGTTCAAATTGTTCATGGGAGTAAGATGAGGTTTTCTACTCCAGTAAAGATTTACAGTAAAGAAACCCTATACAGGCTCCTTATGAGTTGGAACTGACTCGGTGGCTTGCAACCATATCCACTGAGTCACCTCAGGCAAGTTATTTAGTCTTTCAATGACTCAATTTTATCACCTATAAACTGACAATGGAGTAGTGTTTACCTTGTTGTCATTGTTGTTAGGTGCCATTGAGTTGATACCGACTCATAATGCAACAGAATGAAACACTGCCTGGTCCTGGGCAGACCTCACAATCGTTACTAAGCTTGACCCCATCACTGCCACCACTGTGCCAATCCATCATATGACTGGTCTTCCTCTTTTTCTCTGACCCTCCACTTAACCAAACATGGTATCTTTCTCCAGTGACTGGTCCCTCCTGAAAATATGTCCAAAGTATACTTACCTTAAAAGGTTGTGTGTTTTTTTAATTGAAAATACCATGATATGTGTTTGCTAAATAAATACATTTAAACTAACAGATTAGGTCCCGTGCCTTGTTATGAGTTTCTCACACAAATGAAATCAACTAGTCATCTGTTCCGTATTTAGTACTACAGCTTTCTTTCATTTCCATGTCTTTTTTATATCTAAATTTATAATAATTCTTACAATTAGCATTTTTTTCATGAGATTCCAGAAGCCTGACTGTCTCCCCAATAGTTGTTGTTGTTGTTAAGTGCCATTGAGTCAATTCCAACCCATAGCGACCCTGTATAGGGTTTTTGAGGAGTGGCTGGTGAGTTTGAACTGCCGACCTTGCAATTATAATGGCTTTGCAGTCTGGTGCATTAACCCACAGCGCCACACCAAGACTCCTCCCCTATAGTTAGAGACTTACAAGTAAGCAGAAGGAGTAGAGCCATCCTCCCATAACCAGTTTCTGCCAAATGGATCCCATGATAATCCCAGCCAGAAGAAAGAAAACTTGGGTAATGGTTGTGAATTTAGAAAATCCTGAGAGAAAAAACAAAAACAATTTTATGTGACAACCACATTGCATTTTACAGAGATAAGATATAGGGGAGTATTCTTGAAATTCATTTGTAAATTCACTGACTTCCTATCATGTGAATCAGAAATTCCCCTAATTTAATTTTCATTGTATGAATAATGTCTATAACTAGGGAAGGAGAGCCAACCATACTTTTTCTTCCATGCTGTCTATCTTTAGCAGGGTAGAGTTCTTGTTCATGCAGTCCTGTTGACTGTCAGTCCAGGTTTTCTCTTCATTAGTTGTAAAATAATAGCAGCTGTTTTGGTGCCATTGCCACATCTTAGGACAAGGATTACATTTGTGGTCTGCAAAAGAAAGCAATTATACCTAATAGTATAAACTCTGTAACTATATAGTAGCTGGGGAAAGTCCTGAAGCTAAATTATTTAATTGGGCAATGAAATCTTAGAGTAAGCCCACTGAAAACATTACCATATGGGCCTCTTTGGAGTAAGTCCCACTGGCCATTGATTAGGGGCATGAAGATCTAAATTCACTTTTCAGGGCTTAGTCTTATGGCTTCATAATTACCAAGATTATCTACAAATAGTGAAGAAAATGAAGAACTTTAGTATCCAGATAATCCAGATTAGTGTCTTTCTGTCTGTATTTAAAAAAAATACAAGATGATCTTAAATATGTATTCCTTTCTTTTCTGTAAATTCAGTGTTACCTCATTAAGGGTAATTGAATAACTTAACTCACTCATATTCTCAGGAGAAGCACTTGGTCATTTGAAATAGGGACTAGAGATAGAAGTTTATGTATAACAGTAAATCTATATTTGCCTACCTGAACTGTGAATGATAAGCTCCTGGCACAGTTTGATGGCCATTTGTTCCTGCTTCTTCAATAGACTGGAGATCTGTGATTTGAGAAAATCGTCCTCCATGGGAAAGATCTTGTAGCTGCCCAGCTGCTGGGATGAGTTATCCAGCTGTTGATGGACTGTTTTCTGAAGTGGACTCACTTTCTCTGAATCTGAGTTAATTTCATTAGATGTCTGCAAATCTCCAAGACATAACAGGAAACATATTTCTGATAGCCATAGAAAACTCTCTCGATACAAAAACTTTTTTTCAAATTATTCAATATTTATTATTAATGCATAATAATTGAACTAACATGAAGGAAATCCTCCAGATAACTTTCTATTACCAATAAAGTTCATCTTTGAAATTTTATTTATAATTAAATTAATTGTTATTATTGTTGTTGTTAAGTGTTGTTAAGTGACCCTGTGGAGGGTGTCCAAGGAGCAACTAATGGGTTTGAAATGCTGGCCTTGCGGTTTGCAAAACAGTGCTGATCCCACAGCACCACACCAGAATTAAATTACTAGCATACTGAAATGAAATTAAAAACTAATAGTTTTATATATCTGACATTTTATTTTAGGTAGTGCTATTATTGTCATTCCTTTTGGTAATTTGGTTGACATAATCCATTGTTTTTGTTGTTGTTGTTTTAATAGTAACAGAATCTTTAGGACAATTGTTATTAAGAGCCATGGAGTCTCGGTTCTGAGGCTGTAAATCTTGACGGGAACAGAAAGCCTCATCTTTCTCCTGAGGAACAGCTGGTAGTTTCGAACTGCTGACCTTGCGGTTCACAGCCCGATTCATAACCAATATACTACCAGAGCTCCTCAGGACAACAGGTATTATAAAATATTGCTCACAAACTACATGCATCAGAATCTTCTGTGGTACTATTTAAAAAAAAAAAAAAAAGTTGTTTTTAATGCTAGGTTATTTCTGGACCTGGGTTCATAACATTTGCAATTTTAATAAGGTCTTCAGGTGATTCATCAGTACAATAAATATAAAAACTAAAATCACTGCACTGTAGAAAAAATTTTAAGAAGTACCTTTCCATTCATGGTAAATCAATAAGCATATGTCATCCCAGAACTGTACGGTGATAAGTCAAAATTAAGAAATATTTCTCTTTGGGCCATTGTGCTGGCAAGTGTATGTGTGTGCTTTTGTTATTGATACATGGAGATGGTTCAACTCAGTGTCTACGGAGTGTTGTATATCCAGCCATTCTTCTTCCTTGTTTGAATCCCTTTACTTTACATTGCAGTTAGGCAGTTGCTCTTGCTTGGAAGTTTTCTCTACACTAGAAAGGTCTTGGATAAGCAGGTTAAATTAGTCTGGTTCTAACATTAGCATTAAATGCAAAAGTGTGTCCTTCCTTGAATACATCTTCCTAGACTCCTTATTCCTCACGATTGCAATAATAAGTTGATGCATGTCTAGACAGAAGAGAGTTTCCTTATTTCAACCGTTAACTAAGAAAATAATCTTTATAGTCCAATTTTGGACTTCTGGAGTGGCACTTTGAATCAGAACTGGACTGCAAACCACAAGGTCAGCAGTTCAAACCCATAGCTGCTCCTCAGAAACCCTATACAGGGTTGCTGTGACTTGGAACCGACTTAATAGCACTTAATGACAAGAACAACATCATAGTCCAATTTAGTTTATAAAAAGAAAATAATGGATTATGGGAAAACCATCATAATGATGAAATGTGTTCTTTGCTGAGTTTTACCTACGTTTATCTTGGCGAACTAGAGAATAGGGATACACAGAATGGTAGAAAATATGGATAGATTTGGGATCTGGCACCTACAGTATATTTTAATCTGAATTAATAGTTCACATGTATACTTGCTGATTACCTGTGTTGGACTTTATGCAAATATACTTACACATAATCCCCAAGGTCACCAGACCAATCAACAGCAATAGGCAGAGAGTTATCAGACTCAGGGCAGCCTGACGCCATATGGGAGATGGAGCTGGATACCCTGAAGAAAGCCAACAGACAGAGGAGTTAGCAGTCAGAGTTGCCTGTTAACTGTTACAAATTGGGTTGTTTATTTCTCCCTCTTAGGAAACCCTATACAGGGTGGCTGTGAATCAGAACTGACTCCACAGCACTCAACAACAACAACAGGAAGCTTCTAGGTATTAAAATTCCCCTCTTACCACTCTAATGCTTCTCGGAAACTCTGTATAGGGTTGCCATTGGTTGGAATTGACTCGACAGCTCACACTCAGACTGATTGGTATTTAGAAAATAGCCATAACACGATAAGAAGAATTTCTGCCCATCTGGTTTCATGTGTTGTCCCATCACTTTTCTTTTCCTTCCAGAATAAGTTTCTCCTAGTTTTTGGGCTTTTACTATATACATCATCACCCATCTTCCTTCCATTTATGAATGAGATATTGAAAATGCTAATCTGGGTGACTCTGAGAATAGGAAAGAAAGACCTCATTTTTGTTGACATTATAAACCTCTATAGAGTAGGGTTGTTGTGGATTTTAATTTAATGTATATCTATCCATTTATCATTAAGGAGCTCTGGTAGCGTAGTGTTTACGAATCGGGCTGTGAAGCTTAAAGTCAGCAGTTCGAAACTACCAGCCACTCCGCGGGAGAAAGATTAGGCTTTCTGCTCCCGAAAAGATTTACAGCCTTGGAAACCCTGTACAGGGTCACTATGGGTCGGAGCCGATCCGACGACACTTAACAGTAACAATAACATCCATTTATCATTATGTGGCACTGTGGGATTAAGCACTGGACCACAAGGTTGGTTTGAACCACGAGGTTGGTAGTTCAAACTCCCCACAAGGTTGACAGTTCCAAACTTCCTTGGAGACAGAGCTGCTGTGAATCAGAATCTACTTGACGGCACTTAGCAACAAAAACAACAGATAGTGATTAAATATTAGATGAACGAATAGAGAAATGTGTAGTATAGCCTAAAAAAATAGTAGAATAGACTAAAAAGTCATTGTGTAACTTCAAATTTTACCATCATAGCTTTTCTTCTGCAAAAGGTTCTCATATTTCCCTCACCTACTGATTCCTTGATTTATGTCCTAAAGAAATCTAGACTAATGTTGTTAAGTGCTCACAAGTCATTTCCGACTCACAGCGACCCCGTATAAGGTTTCTGAGGAGGAGTTGGTAGGTTTGAACTGCCGACCTTGTGGCTCTCAGTCCAGTGCTACTCTATGGTGCCACTGCAGGAGTCCAGACCAATGTTACAGATAGATTAAAGGAATCCCCAGGTACATTGTTGTTGTTAAGTGCCGTCGAGTCGGTTTCGACCCATAGAGGCCCTGTATAGGGTTTCCGAGGAGTGACTGGTGAGCTTGAACTGCCGACCTTGCAATTTAAACAGCTCTGCAGTCTGGTGCATTAACCCACAGTGCCACACGAGGACTCCCACAGCGTAGTGGTTACAAGTTGGGCTGCTAGCCTCAAGGTGAGCAGTTCGAAACTACTAGCTATTTTACAGAAGAAAGATAGGCTTTCTTCTCCGTAAAGATTTATAGCCTCGGAAACCCTATGCAGAGTGGCTATGAACCGAAACCTACTCCACGGCACACCATCACCACCACTAGGTGCATTGTCAAATTCACTACATCCACACAAATACTTTAAAAATAAATCTGAAGTGGAAATTGACATTCATATGATTCAGGACAGTATTCTGAAGTGTTACAGATCTTCTGTAGCCAAACAATGCAGTCTGGTATAATCGGATTCCTGGCCACAGAGACAACTATATCTTCCTTTCAATTGAATACAAAACAATGAGCTGAAGACTAGAATGAAGTCTTGGCTCCACCACACACCAGTTGTATGAACCTGGGCAAACCACTTAATCTCTCAGTCTTAGTTTTCTCATCTACACAATGAAGAAAATACACATATTACTCTGTTTACTAAAAATAATAATTTAATAAAACTATAAGGTTATGGATATAAAATACTATCTGATTGTTAATATTAAATTATTCAACATTAAAAATTATTCTGGAGATTTAGATGACACTTAAAAGAAGTTCATTTATGAAAAGAGAAACTAGCTCTTGTCTATTTTTTACCCTAAAATTTTTCCTTTCAATAATTTATACTATTTGAAAGAGAAATTTCTTGTACTTTCTTTCTCTGTTTTAGAAGCCTCAGATCTAGCTTTTAAAAAATATTCTTTCATACGGTTTAGATCTATGAGACGAGACTATACATATAAAATAAATGTGTACATATAATCCCCAAACACATTCCCTGACATATCCACTCACAATTTTGTTTCACAGAAACAGTTTCATGGCACGTAATGTTTAGAGATAGTTCAGAAAGACTCACATTTTCTCATACATTTGGAAACACTTACTCTGCTTATGAATTGCCCTACTTGCTGACTCCATTTTTAAAATTCCACAACATACCTTCCATTAGTATGAAAACCAACATTATCAGTGCATTTAACATCTGTCCGTCCCCCAAGCTTACATTCTGCTACCTCTGAACTCACCTCTTTTTCTGACATTATTTCTATTCCTATTCTTCCCTGCTTCAGCAGAATTTTGAAATGTGAGTGTTGCATAGGTCACGTCTTCAGACATTGTGGAAGAAAGCACTCCTCTAAATTATGTAATTAATGTTTCAATATCTTCAGGCAGTAGAAGAGAATGTTCTTTTCAAGGCTGGGAGTGTATATATAGACACACAAGTGACCCAAGGCACATCCCACTGTCCCTCTGTAAGAACAATATGACAATCAGTTTCACTAGAGAAAGTGAGAGAAGTCAAATATACATTTTTGGAAATCAAAATGTTATAAATCTGCACTTGAATGCCTTTTCAGAATAGCTTCTTACTGTGAAGTATAGGAGGTATGCTAGCAAGCAGAGCACACATGATGGTTTCATTGGGAACTGACAAATTCCCCAAGGTAGAGGCTCTGAATGTTTCAATGAGGGGTCATGTGTCTTTAGATGTGATAAAGGCCAGCTAATACTGTATGGATGGAGTCCTGGTGTGATGTTATAGGAAAAGCATTGAACTGCTGACCTATCAGTCACTCCTCAGAAATCCTATATAGCATCATTATGATTCAGAATCAATTTGATTGTCCTTAACAACAAGAATACTATATGGAAACATGGCATCTAGTTTATATTTACCCATCTCAGATGTGAGGAAGCACAAATAGGGAGATAGGGGGAACTGTTTAATTAAAGACCGTACACACCTGGCTAATGTAAGAAATCAAAATATGCATGTGTGTGTGTGTGTAGGAATGTGAAAGTTTTAGAAAGCGAAAAATGTTGGAAGATTCAGGAGTGAATGAGACTAGCCTACAGTAAAGTTTTCTTTTGTTTTGTTATTTGTTTGCATGATTGTTTGATTTTTAACCTGGGAAAAACCCATAGTCACAGTGCCCTGCAGAATCTCCAAAACATTTGGTTTTCCAGACCTATAACCTCAGAAAACAGAGTTTGGGGAAACTACAGCCAATGAAAAGTGAAGGGGTCATCACAAGAGAGAGAAAGGACACAACCCTGGCATACATCTTCCCAGATTTTAAATCATTCAGTTCTCCTTGTTCTGTTCAAACAATGGCTTCTTGGTCTATGTACAGTTTCCTTAATAGCACAATGAAATGTCTCAGAATACCCATTCTTCACAATATTATCCAGAGTTTGTTATGATTCATATAGTCAAATGCCTTTGCATAGTCAAATAAACATCTTTCTGGTATTCTCTGCTTTTAGCCCAGATTCATCTCACAGTATCATTGGTATCCCCATTTCCACATCCTTGTCTGAATCCAGCTTGAATTTCTGTCAGCTCCCTGTAGAAGTATTGCTACAACCATTTTTGTATTATCTTCAGCAAAATTTTACTTGCAAGTGATATTAATGATAGTGTTCAATGATTTCTACTTTCTGTTTGGTCTTGTTTCTTTGGAATAGGCATAAATATGAATCTCTTCTAACCAGATGGCCAAGTAGCTGTCTTCCAAATTTCTTTGCATAGACAAGTGAGTGTCTCCAGTTGTGCTAGCTTGCTGAAACATTTCCGTTTGTATTCTGCCAATTCCTGGATCTTGTTTTTCCCCTTAATGACATGTTGCTTCTTGAAATGGTTGCACATCAACCAGTTCTTTTTGGTAAAGTGGCTCTGTATTTTCCTTCTGTTTTCCTTTGGTGCTTTCTGCATCCTTCAATATTTTGCCCGTAGATCTTTATTTTTCTTCTTCAGTTCTTTCAGCTTGAGAAATACATGTTCTTCCTTTTTTGTTTTCTAACTCTAGATTTTTGCACATTTCCTTAAAATACTTTGTCTTCTCGAGCTGCCCTTTGAAAATTTCTGTTCATCTCTTTTGTTTCATAATTTCTTCCAGTTTCTTTGGCTTCTCTACATTCAAGAGCAAGTTACGAGAACAAACAAGATGGTGGATCGGGTGGACAAGCAGTAAAGGAGCTCCGCCAATAACAACACAGAATACCCGATCAAGCAGGCTCGGGGGCTGGTCCCAGAACTCTGAACCACATATAAAGGAATACTTAAAAGGTTGGAAGGCTCACAGCTGGGGGGAATTTGTGGCAGAATCAATAAATCTATTGCTTTCTAGTCCAGGACGCTTGACTGCTCCAGGAGCCGCCATCTTGGGTGAGACCACATGGGGGAAGGAGCGGAGCGGCCAGAGATGCCTGGCAGAACCACTGAGATAAAGGTGTGGACATTCTTTTCCTTTGGTATCTGTTCATTGGTCCCTTGCTGTCTGCGCACCTCTATTCTGGTGGCTATAGGGGTGCCTGAGCTAGTGGGCACCCCAGCCCCACCCTCGGAGGGTTCTGCTATGCATGCGCACAGATCTCCTCGAAATTTAAAGAGACAGTTTCCAATTAAAACCAAATGGCCACAGCTGGCCCTGAACTGTTTCCAACTATAAAAAAGTCATGAATGGGGATTGTGGAGCAGGACAAGCA